TCACATCTATACTTTGGACCACATGCTGTTGCAATCAGAGCTCAGAGTGCCGCCCAAATTGCAGCTATAACCAATCAGAAGAAGATATAGATATATATGTAAGTTTTTTTTTTCTCCACGATCATCGTTTTCATAATCGATCGCAGCTGTCACGGTCGAGTACTCGATCGCTGTTGCACATCCCTAATAATAAATATAATATAACAATTAAAAATATATAATAAAATATAAAACTTCTATAATTACATATAATTAGAAATTTTATTTTTAAACTTTTAAATTTCACACACACACACACACACACACACACACACACACACACACACACACTTATTATAAATAAAGTATAATATTAAAATGATATCAATACAGATCAGTATAGACAGACAGATATATAAATATAGATATATGATAAATATATATACATCTTTAAAAAATAAATATAAACATTAAAAATTAACATTATATATATGTATATACAGTGGGTACGGAAAGTATTCAGACCCCCTTAAAATTTTCACTCTTTGTTATATTGCAGCCATTTGCTAAAATATAATTTTATATATATATAAAAAAAAAAAACTTAAAAAGTTAACTTTAAGAGGACTCTTGTCTTACTCTAATGAAAAGCCCGGCTCGCACAGGCCCGCTGCTCTGCTCCAGAGCACCAATCACAGCGAAGAACGTTCCTTGCAGGGTTTCATCTGGAACAGGAAACTCTGCACTCATCGTCAAATCCTCCACTGCGAGGTTCTGTGCGACGTGACACATGACCTCTGACCCTGTCAGGTGGCCTACGACGGCTGCCACACCCTCCTCAGGCAGGCTGGGAAAGCTGCCCCTGCACCAGTCACTGAGGAAACCCTGTACAAAACAATGGAAAGAGAGGAATGTGAATACCATACCAATTTTTGAGCATGAGACTCATCAGTGTTCTCACCTTTGTGAACTGTTGACCGTGCACACACAGCTTGCCGTTGTCTTTCAGGTTGAGGGTGGTCGTCTCCAAATCAAGGCCCAGCGCTCGCCTCCTCTCCTCCTCAGATCGCAGGTAACACGTGTTCACAAACGCCGTCTTCAGAAGCTCCACAGAGAAACTCTCCTGCAGTCGGGCACTGAAAGCCTCCACTTCAGCATGATAATCAAAGTTTGGCTGCTGGGAGCTGACGGGAAGAGAAAAGAAGGTTAAAGAGGTGCAAATGAAATAACCCCCCACGTTTGTTTCTGTGAATTGTGGGGACTTTCCATAGACTTCTATTACTTTTATACTGACCAAACAATATTTTCTATCCCCTAACCCTAAACCTGCCCCTTACAGAAAACCTGTTTGCACTGTCGACAATGTCAAAAAATTTCAGGTTTTACTATACTTGTTGGTCCCCACAATGTAGCATAAACAAGTACACACACACAGGTGTGTAATTTGATGTCATTAAAGTTGTTTATACATTAAAAATAAAAATAAAAAATATATAATTAAATGAGTAAATTACAGAATTTTAATTTTTTTGTGAACTATCCCTTTAAGAAGGTTTATCAATTCCAATAATTTCAAAAAGTCCCAAGATAAAATAAGATATAAGATAAGCTATTTATTATTTATTTATTTAGTAATTTATTAGACGCTTTTATCCAAAGCGATTATTTTTTTACTCAGTTGTCTCAAATTAAAGATGAGTGTTTACTTGACATGACTACAATTAGAATAAAAGTAGTCCTTGTATTTATGAACTAACTGTGGAAACTATTCATAGATAGTATTGATCATAATTAATAGTAGCCAAAAAAAATCACATAGAATATCACAAAATGACTTTATTATTTTATTACTAGTCTTTGTGTGGTTCATTTAAATGAAAAACTAAAAAATAAAGCTAAAAACAATTCAAAATATTAAAGAACAATAGGTATAAGAGTATAATAATGATTCTAACATAACACTAAGTCAAACACCAAAAAACCAACTACATATAAGTGTATGTACAACCATACACACATACTGTACTGTACATACACATTTATAAATTCAATATATATATATTATTTCATTTCCATTTAGTTTACAGGACTTGGAAAGAGAACTGTTTCACACAAAGTCACTGTTAAAAACAGCATATGTGGAACTAAATGAGAGAGACACCAGATCTAAGGCCTTAGAAGGCCATCGGCATGCTGCCAGAGCTGAGGTCCAAACCCTGACTCAGCAATTGAAAAGGAGCTTGACATGGTCCAGAAAGAATTGAAACAGTCGATGGCGACTGCTTATAGACTCAAGCAAAAGACCATCACATCACCAGCAGTGCAAGCCCCTCCAAGCTTGTGCACAGCTACGAAGGGGGG